GCTGAACTATGAATACTGAACTTCTTTGTTATATCATTACTATAGTCCTGTAATTTATTCCAATCACATCCTTGAAGTGGAGACACCCACCAAGGAAGTCCTGATGTACTGGACAAGGGCAGTGAGCCACATATCCTGCAAGAGGTGTGTTGTAATGATTTTGCATATGCTTGTGCCCACATTAAAAAGGAGTTGCATCCTCCTTTCAGTGGTGAAGGGAACAGTAAAAGGGCTAATAGTAGCCTTACTTACCTGAAGTCTTTGTTTTCTTCTTGAAGAGGAATCTTAGGTCTTCTGTGCGTTCACAGGAGTATGTGGGTGGTTGTTCACGTCCAGTGATAGTCTCAAGTTTCCAGGGTTTGTGTCAGGTGTGATGCATCCGAGTGTCCAGGCCTCTTGTCTTCAACATGGAAGAAGTTGACAGGATCACAGTGTAAGGTCCTTCCCAATGGCTGATGAGGGAGGGGATTTTACCAGCACTAAATCTCCAGGGTGGAAGATAGGTTTTCCTTTCTCTGTAGGCTGAGCTTCTGTAAGCTCTTGAAGAGTTTGCTGGAATTTAGCCAATGAGGTGATGTCTTTTTATAAGGCATCTGTTTCTCTGACAAAGAGAAAATCATCAGTGAGGAAAGGGCATCCATAAGGCATTTCAAGCGGACTGAGGCCTAGGTTTTGAGGTGTATTTGTTATTTTGATAAGAGGTAAAGGTAGGATGAATCTGAACCCTGGTGGGGCCTTGGGCTGAGAGGGCAGTCTGACATCCAGTGGTCACCTCTGCAGTCAGGGCATGGCCCAGGGGGCTTTTGAGTGCAGTCCCTCTTAAGGTCACCTGGCTTGTGGCAGTGATGGCAGGTGAAAGTCATCGTTGAGCTCTTCTTAGAGACCTGAGAATCAGACTTAGGGTCTGTTTCTCTTAATGCTGTGCAAAAGCAGCTGCTTTTTCTCAGTCTCTTTGTTTTCTCTCTTTGACCTCCCTCTCATCACAGTTATAAAATACTGAGGAGGCAACTTTTACTAAAGTATCAAGTGAGCTGGGGATTTAGCTCAGTGGCAAAATCACTTGCCTGGCAAATGTGTGTTGTGTTTGATCCACAAACTCCAACACACACAAAATGAATGAATAAATAAAGTATCAAGTGGAGTATCTGGAGGAAAAGCCATCTTTTGTAGCTTTTTTCTAATAGCTGAGGCTGACTGTGTAATAAACTTATCTTTAAGGATAATTTGTCCCTCTATTGAATCAGAATCTAAAGAAGTATGCTTTATCAATGCCTCTCATAATCCATCTAAGGAGGCAGAAAATTGTTCCTTCTTTTCTTATTGAATAACTGATAACTTAAAATAATTGAATGATTTAGTTCTCACTCTTCTTCAGCCTTCAAGAACACATGTCTGGAAATGATTTCTAATCCAATCACTCACCTGGTTGTGGGCCCAGTAAGAGTCTTGCATAGGGACTGTTTGTGATCCAGTGGGAACACAGCTTTTGCAGACTCCAACTGCACTGTGTCGCTGGTCCAGGACAAAATAAATCAGTGCTGCTTTTTTAAAATAAAAACATGTCTTGCCCATTTTTGAACTCAAGTTTGGGCTTTGGGGGCTTGTTTGTGGATTACAAGATTTAATGGCATATTTTTATTATTTTATTCTTGCACAAGTTAAATTTAAACTAGTTGCTAAAGTTATTTCCCTTTATCTTCTGGCCTTCTAAAATTGACAATATGGTATTCATATCCAAAGGCAATAGCAGCCTGTAATGCTGCGTGTCTCTCACTAGAAATGAATGTCTGATTTAAGAGTAACACTACATCTTTCCAATCTACTTAATATGCCTGAGTAAGTCCTCTAAGGACCTGAATGTACTTGTCAGGCTCATCTGAAAATTTCCCAAGATCTAATTTTATTTGTTTTAGGTCACCAAGAGAGAAAGGTACATGAATTCTGGAAGTTCCAGATCATCCATGTACTCCCTGCAAAGGATACTACCCTTGAGGAGCTTGCTTAAACTCAGCTAAGGATGGGTATAGTCCTGGAAAGGCCTGGATTACAGCTGGCCTAGAAGCTTTATCCTTAAGGCTGGAAGGGCAGGTGGGGGAAAACTTAGGTTCAGTAAAAGTGGGGGAGGATTTGATTAAGGCTATTTTGTCCTCAGGTTCTAAAGGTTCAGGAGGTGCAATTTTCAGCTCTTGGGTAGAAGATGCCTTAAGAGCCCAAGGTGCTGAGTTTTCCTGTTACTCACATTTACATTTAGAATATAAATAAGAAGTATTTCCCAATGCATAGAAAGTCTGAATGTAGGACAGCACTGACCTTTTCCCCTCCTTTTTATTGTATGTCTCTAGTTGTAAAAGAGGATCATAATTAATACTTACCTCTGTATTCCACTAAGGCTCTTGGGGGTAGGTAGGCCACACACTCATGCAGAGAAATACCAATTGGATCTTTTTCAACATGGAAGGCTCGAACATCTAGTGCCTAAGAATGTGTTCCAAAGGAGAATGGGCTTTGACATTTTGTTGTCCATGTCTATAATGTAAAAGCAAGGCATAAGTATGAAACCTTTTCTGTACCCAGGCATTGAACTAAGAACCGTTTGATGAGCTATGAGTGATATTGAGCTATCTAGTTATGCATAAAATGAGTTAAAATAAGGTGTCCTTTTTTTTTCCTATTTGATAGATGTTCCCCACGTGTCTCTTGGGTTGAAACTGCTCCAGGGCAGGTGAATGCCTTCTGGAGAGAATGGACCATAGTTTCTGTCAGCCTATCCACCCTGGAACTGGCACACAATCCTATATTCCCAGATAGCTCGTGAGCTTTGTTTCCATAAAGAATGTTTAGCGAAGGAAGCATGACTTTGTAAACATGTATTATAAGGGAGCATACATTAAAAGGTGAGTTGGTGGTAGAGTACTTTTCAGGTTTTTTAGAGTAACTCTCCTCTAGAGATAGATAGAACAACTGACTGGAGGAGCATTACTCCTTAATCTGGGCAAAAGAGTCTCCAGACATTTGTCTCTCACTTAATTATCTAGGTAACTTTTCTTAGTAACAGGACAAGGCTATACTTCACTTAAATTTCTATATCTTTGAAGCTCACAGGTTAAATTTATAAATTATCATCTAGCAGTCACATTTTAAGTTAGAAAGAGGTACATCAGTCTTCTAGTCACACAGAAAATCCTAGTTAATTTTTTTTTAATTTTATTTAAGGAGAAAAGAGAAAAAAACAGTGAAAGGGTACAAGTTATACAGATTTACAGAAAAAAAATGAACAGTAGGAAATCACTAGTTAATGGATTACATATTGCCATCTTAGAAATAATTGTTCAAGTCACAAAATTAAAGCTTGTAGAGTGGACATTCCAACAATGATACTGCAAACAGTTCTGTTCAATGATTTAAAACTCTGTGATATCATTTTCTAACTTATACACTTAAATATACATGCAGTTATATAGTTTAGAGCACTTTCTTTTCCTCTCTTTTGTACAATGACTATTACACATTTTGGGTTTCATTGCTCCCACGGTTCTTATTGCTTTTTTGGAAGAGAGTAAAACCAAATGTGACATAACAGAACAGAATCGGTCAAGTCAAAAGGGTGGACATAATAGATAGTGTAAAAACATAATACACAGTGATCAACAGTGCTTACCATAATGCCTCCAGCTATCTCTAATTGAATTGCCTATATCATTAGTTATAATACAATTGAACAAAACAGTAAAGAACAAAACCGACAAAAGCAAACCATTGGAGATTTTGTAGGTCTTCAAAAGTAGATAAAAGTCAACGAGAATGGGCGTCATAATGAATCTCATTATCTTCACAGCTGATGCCTAAACTTTCGAACCTGACACTATCCAGCAAAACAGAATAGGGGAACATCAGTCAAAAACAAGATGGTGAGAGTAATACAAGGCTTCAAATCGAGATAATAGAAAGTCAAAGTGGGTTACTATAATATATCCTGCTATTTTTTCCCTTTAATTAAATGGATAAAAATAAAAAAGTAAATAATGGAGTGGAGATTGGGATAAAAAAGGGCATAACAGCGAAACAGCGCAGATCAAAACATAAACATTTAAGCAGAATAGTGTTTCACCACCAGATAATTCCAACCCAAAAGTAATTACCATATTGACTCTTTCCTTGAAGTCCTTGAGTACAACTTCGTATACGGTAGCATTAAGTTTATCAAAACAATGTAAAACCATTTAAGAGAATGACAGCATTACAGAGTATTTAGAATCGACTAACAGAAAATGAACAATGGTTTCTGTATAATCTCCTTGTCTTTAAAAGGTTTTTGCTTATACTATCGTACATAATAAACTCCAATAAGATACAACCTATTTAGACCATTGGAGACAGAAGAACAAAAGCTAGATGAGACTTCAAAACAAGATGATACTAAATCAGTATTACCTATTAAGATGTCATTTTCTCCAAAATAGCTGTTCCTATCATCCAATCTTCTCTGTCTCATTTCTGTTGAGCTCTTTTTCTGTCAGTAGCTGTCAGTTTGTCTTCTTCATTTTGTTCTCTGCTCCATTCGTTGTGGCATCCCCACCACTATTTCTGGGTTCTTTGTATTTTTCTTTTTTTAGAATATCCTGCAATACTTTCTATAGAGTTGAATTGGTGGTTTCAAATTCCCCCAGTTCCTCTTTATCCTGGAAGCACCTTGTTTTTCCATCAATTTCCAGGGACAGTTGTGCAGGATATCTCAATCTTGGCTGGAGATTATTATCTTTCAAAGCTTGAATTGTTTCCCCCCATGCTCTTCATGATTTGATGGTTTGTGCAGAGAAATCTGCTGTAATTCTGATGGGTGTTCCCTTGTAAGTGGTCTGTTTCTTGTCTCTGACAGCTTTTAATATTCTGTTCTTGTATTGAATTTCTGGAATTTTTATTATTATATGCCTGGGTGTTGCTCTGTTTGGGTTGTAGGTAGCTGAGGTCCTGTATGCCTCATACATCTGAGTATCTTTACCTTTTGCTAAATTAGGAAAATTCTCCTGGATTATTTCTGTGAGTAACTTTTGTAGTTCACTTGTTTGTGTCCCTACTTCTTCTTTTATGTTCTTAATCCTTAAGTTATGGATCCTCTTATCATCTTCTTGTCTTTGTATTATTGCTGTTTGTTTCTTTGTTATTTTTAAGAAGTTTTTTATTTCATTCTCCCATATTACAAGCATGCCCTCCAGTTCAGATAGTCTGTCCTTAGTTTCCTTCAAGCTGTTATGCCAGTCTTGGATAGACTTCTTAGTTTCTTGATAGTCCCTTTGAACCTGCTTCACGTACTCTATGCTTTCTGTTTTCTCCATCAAACAATTCTCCCCTCTTTTTCTGTTCTTCCATTCCACCATCTGTTTTTTCCTGGGTGGTGCTTAGCATTTCTCTAACTATTCTGCATACTTCTAGCTTCAGGTCATTGATAACTTCATTCCTGAATTGGTCTATGAGGCTCTCCATATGGGCTTTATGTCTATTGGTGCGGTGTCCGCTATTGCCTGTTTCTCAGAATTGAGGGCCGAGGAGCCTTTCTTGTTGCTGCCTTTTCCCATATTCTCTGTTCCTTATATATGCAAGTTTACACAGGAGGCCCAGCTTCCCTCCCTGTCAGCCACAGCCTGATCGAATTGCGCTGACTAGGTGTTCCCACCCACCGCAGCGCACCAGGGAGTTACGGACTAGGCAGCCTACGTGGGAGTCGCCCCTCCGGGCCACCGTCAGGCTCTGGGATCTGGGTTGGGCCAGCCTACCTAGTCCGCCAGCAGCGTCACGCAGGCCAGGCACTTTTCACCAATCCCGTCCGAGAGGGGAATGTGTGGCTGGAGTCGCCACCGCGCCCTGCTCCCGCAGGACTGCCCGGGCCCAGAAAGTCCTCCACTGGAGTCAAACTGTGGTAGAGTGTCAGTTTCTCTCACTCACCTCACCACAAGTCAGTGTACGCCTCCCTGGCCATCCTGTTTTCGACTCCATTCACAGACTCCCGTTCTCAGAGCTTCTGCGCGTCTCTCTCCTTGCCGAGCCAATGTAGAGGCAGCCAGCCGCAGCACGCCAGGAAACCCAAATCATGGCTTCCTTTGGTGCGGGGTCTAGACTCCACACCGAGGCTTTTCTGTTCCTGTTTTAGCACCAGGACTGCATTCCAAGTTGGTTTCTCTCAGCCCAGTTCGTTCCTGAGTCAGCAGAGCATATCTCTACCGGCTTATGTCTCCTTAGTCCGCACCATTCCTGACTTCTGAACCAAGCCTTTCAGAGAGCCTCCGTAGTATCTGCTATCTGTCCACCATGTTGTCCCGGAAGTCCTACTTTTTAAAAAATTTTATTTAAAGACAAAAGAAAAAACTTTTACTTAAAGAGAAAAGAAAAAACAGAAAAAGAGTACAAGTAATACAGAATTTCAAAAAAATAGAAATCACTAGTTAATAGATTACATATTGTCATCTTATAAATAATTGTTCAAGTCTATTTAGTTTTAATTAACATAGGTAAATCATTTCCCTACTAGCTGCTATGGAATGTAAGCAATCATTGCAAGCTACCTCAGTATAATCTCTGAAGGGATGGGTAGTCTAAGTGATCTAAAGATCTATTGAAAAGTTTAGAATGTTTTTAGTCTACTAGCAGAGAAATAAGGATAATAGAAAAGGGGAGATTTTAAGTGGTCATGAGCAAATGTCCTTTGAGGAAATGTTGGGTGCCAACCAAGGTGTTGCTCTGGCCAGGAACCCTCAGTTCTCAGTTTCTATTGCCTCAGATAACCAGAAATCAGTCTCCAAAAAGGAATCCAGCTGCCTGTCTGGTCAACATTCTGTTGAATCCATTGGCCACTGGCTTCAATGGGGATTCACCTAACAGATGCTGGGGAAAGCTAGCCTCTGATTTTGAGGGTGGCAGTTGCTGTAAGGATGATTAGCTGGCACAGTGACCACTGTGTGTCAAAATTCTATGAGGGATAATTAAAAGACTGCAAGATCATTACCTACACATTTATCAATTTATAATAAAGGTTTTTAAGTCCATAATTTGAGAGGTTGGAAAGCCTCCTTATTCTAAATAGGTTTACGTCCCCTATGTGTGCTGCTTTTAAGGATAGCTGCTTCCATTGCCACATGGAAACTGGTTCTCCCCACTGTGTCTCAGGTTTAATTTCCAAAGGAGATTTGCCCAGAACACTGAGCTGGGACACGGCTCTCATGTGTATTCTCCTGAATAGGCACAATTCTGATGTCTCATCTGACCCAGAGATGGGGTATGTGTCCCTCATCTAAGATGACTTCCCTGTTCTTGGCATTAGCAAATGCTCATTTTCTATGGGCTTAACTCAAAAGGAAAAGGTTGGAATAATCTAGAGTTTTTCCCACTTTTATATGCCTTTATTAGGAAAATGTAAAGTGGCAAGAGAGTAAGAGATAAAGTGAAACAAAGGAAACAGAACAGGCTTGACATTCCTCTGGAGTATAAAGGAGGAGCAGAGCCAGTCTGTCTCAATGAAACCTGTGCTCCAAATCCGGAAGCATGGCCACCAGCCTAGTGCTTCTTAAATGGTGGAACGAGTCCCATGTTTTATTGCAGGCATGTATGTTTTCTAAGTCTGAACTAGATTTCATTTAAGAAAACCATTTAATAGAAATTTATATTAAAGACTATTCAGGGTGTTCTATTATTATCTGTGGTGCTATTGTCTAAATATAGTTAAGCAAGGAATACCAGTAACTTTAGCAACTAATATAACATGTGAAAGAATAAAATAATAAAAATATGCCATTAAATCTTGTAATCCACAAACAAGCCCCCCAAAGCCTAAACTCAAGTTCAAAAATGGGCAAGACATGTTTTTATTTTCAAAAAGCAGCGCTGATTTATTTTATCCTGGGCCCTGTAACACAGTGCAGTTGGAATTTGCAAAAGCTGTGTGTCCTCCTTAAAGCTTTCTAGCCTCTTGTAGAGAGCAGAGTTTACAAAGTAAAGGGGTTATGGGGGTGGATCAGGAAATCTGCTAAGGAAATGTTTTCCTTAGCAGAGAACAGAGTAGTCTAGCATTAGTTAATTCTTTGTCAGCTTATTTTAGCACCACATCTGTTATTAGTAGAGGGCAACGATGTTTAACATATCAATTAGGTTAGGTTCCCCGGGATTAACAATTTTTTACAGATGGGAGCATTGATTAACATATCAGTTAGGTCACCCAGAGGGGGGAAAATGCATACAAAACAGTAGGCGGCGTTACAGGTACTTTGGCATAATACAAACGTAACAGAGCTCTTTTTGCTAGTGTACAGCATTCCCCACTGATTTTAGTCAGTGCACCAAATCATTGGCTCATGGGGTTTTCAGACATAAGTATCTGTTTATAACCTTGCATCTTTAAAATCGTAAGCTGTATAGTTTGAACCTGATCTTTGACATAGTTTTCCAATCTGAGTATAATACAAGGCCCAATAGGAAGATTAACAAATTTCTTGCAGCTGTCATTATTAAAGCTGTTAACCAAAAGGAGAAAGAAAACCAACATTTAAATTCACTGTTTTGTCACATAATTAACAATTTTTTTAAAAGCCAGATAGAGGTTTCCTTGGGGTTTCTATAAGGGAGAACACAAGATTATTAGTTACATTTGGCAGTCTTGAGCTTTAAAGAGTCCTTGGAGGGAATGACAGTCCACTTATCTGTAGGTTGATCACCTTTGGAAGCCAGGACCTGCTTGAAGTGGGAATGATGCATCGAGGCAGGCTTTCTGGCTACTTTGATAGCAGTTGGAGTGCTGAGGACTACAATGTAGAGACCTTTTCAGTGGCTCAAGAGATCCACGGTGAAGCCTCTTGATGAGCACAGGTGACTCAGGCTCTACAGCAGGGTGTTTGTTCTCTCAGTGGGCTGCAGGTGGAGGATGTTGTTGTCAAAATAACCAGTGGGTGGAAGTCAGAACTGGCTAAAGAGTTTAGGGAGACTTAATAAGATCTTGATTAGCTAAATCAGCTAATTTTTCCTCAGAAATCTTAGGTATAAGAGGAGTTCTCTCATATAAAGCCTCAAAAGGGGAAATACCAGTAACATAGAGGGTACACTGTGCATACAAGAGGTCAAAAAAGAAAGGAGACTCCCCAGTTCTCACCAGTTTCTAAGGCCATTAGTAATTACCATCTTTAATGTCTGGTTTATCTTTTCTACTTGTCTTCAACTTTGGAGGCAGTAAGTACAATGGAGTTTCCAATTGATCTGCAAGACTTTGGTTAGTTTTTGAGTTATCTGGGCCATAAAAACCGGCCCATTGTAAGGCCCCATTGATAAGGGGAGGCCAAATTGTGGGACAACCTCATATAAGAGTTTTTTGACTACTATCAGAGCTGACTCAGATTTTGTAGAAAAAGCTTTTACCCATCCAGTGAAAGTATCAACCATTATAAGTGAATACTCATATCATTGAAGTCCAGGCTTCCCCACTTCTGTAAAGTCTACCTTCCAGTGTTCTCTAGGCATAGTCCCACTTAGTGAGTGGCTGCTTTGGGTTCAGCAAATGGCACTGAGGGAATCTGAGACTCACAGACTGGGCAAGCTTTGATATTAGCCCCCAAATGCAAGTCTTTTCAAGTGCAAATAGGCTCTGACAAAGTAGGTGGGAATGCAGTGATGTCAGGGCTATCTCAAATCCCCACTGATTCTACAGCTGCCTTGTGGGTGGTGGCATCTGCCAAATTATTTCCTCATATAACAAGGCCATCTCCTGCTCAATGGGCTCTATAGTGGATAATAGCCACTCTTCCTGGCATCCAGTTGGCAGCCAACAAGTCCAAAATTTGGGAAACATTTTTAATCTTTTGGCCCCAGAAGCCAATAAGCACCATTCTTGATAAATGGTCCCACGAACATGGGCAGTAACAAATGCATACTGACAACTTGAGGTCTCAGTGAGGGCAATGAGTTCAGCCTGTTGGGCCAATGTTTTTGGCTCCAGGCTTGGTTCCCATAGAATCTGAGAGTCTGTAGTAATGGCAGCTCCCACAACCCACTTACCTGGATAAATGTAATTGCTTCTATCAGAGAAATACAAAGGAACTCTGAATAGTGGCTCATCTGTCAAGTCTGGTCCCCAATACAGATGTGGAAGGGCAAGGAGGGGCATCATCAGGCAGCAGAGTGGCAGGGTTTGAAGCCGCTGTCCCCTTGAAACTGATGGTAGTCAGATCTAGAAGTAATGCTTGATAATGCATGACTTGGGAGTTGGGCAGCCATTGGTCCGGCGTAGCTTTGATGAGAGTCTCCAGCGAATAGGAGGAGACAAAATAAGAGTTTTGGTCCCCAAGTCAGTTTTTGTGTCTCCTCTATCAGGATGACTACAGAGGAAAACACCCACAGGCAAGGTGGCCATCTGGCTGCCACATAATCAAGTCTCTTGGAAAGATAGGCAACAGGCCTCTGCCAGGGTCCCAAACTCTGCGTCAGTCCTATGGCTCCTAGAAATTTTTCCACTCGGTTTTTAGTCACAGGGACTGGAATCTGTTGGATGGCTTGCATCTGCTGGGAGGAAAGAGTCATTTATTTTTATTTTTTTATGGAAAGTCCAACAACCAATGCAGTTTTTCTGCCCAGCAGAATCCTCTTAAGCCTGGTCTTTAGGGTCCTCCCGGTTGTCAAATATCTTTTAAGCAACCTCTGATAACTGACTGAAGGGCATTTCCTCAAATCTCTCAAACTTTTGCAATTTTTGCTTAATATCAGTGGCCGACTGGGTTACAAAGGCAATATTAATGGCCCTTGCATTTTTAGGCACTACTGGTGTATAAATGTGATAGGCCTTTTGCACTCTTTTCAGAAAACCCCGAGGGAGACTAATAAGTCTCTGTTGAGCCAATTGCCTCACCTCTGCTCTCTTGGGAAAAAGGTAGGTTTTCTGGGGTGCCCTAATGGCTACTGAGAACAACTGGCAATACCCATAAGGAACCTCCTCACCTCTGGTTGTCCAATTGGGGTGGGACAAAAGGAAAACATGGTTTTGGCATTCTGGATCAGAGGCAGGTTTTATCTGGATGGCACACTGTTTTTTGTGTTTTTGTTTTTGTTTTTTTGTCCCAGGGTGGGCCATTGCCCACATGGCAGGCCACTGTTTTACTGAAAGTACATACTTAACAAAAAAAGGCTTTTTCATAGGTAACAAAAGTAATTGTGCCGCATAATCTCCCAGATATCCACAGCACATGCAAGAACTTGTATTTTATCTCTATAATCACCAGTCACATTAGGCATAATAGTTATTTCTTTTAAATTTAGATCAGCTTATTGTAGTAGAAGACGAATTTTTTTTCTCTGTTTTTTGCAAGCAATCAAAATCTCAACTTTGTCTTTATAATCTATAGCATTCCTGGAAATTCCCCTCCCCCAAACTCACAATATTGCAAATCATCCTCTTGAGCTCTTTGCTCTTGATAGCCATAGCACAAAAAGCATTTTCTCTTTTACATTTTTATTTTAAGACAAAACCACTTTTTAAAATTTATTATCAGTCAATTACTTTTTCTCTTGATTTTTAGGTTTTGTTAAAACCTTTAACAAAATGCTTGAAATGACTTTCTTTTAATAGTCTAAAACTTATGTAATCATTTTATTTCTTTTCACCACATTAAAATGCTACATTTTAAAAACTAACTTTTTTAACTGGCTCAATTATAGTATGACCTGGTTTTTACTTGCAAAAGTTAATATGATTTTTAAAAACCATAAATATACATATATATGCGCACATATATTCACATTTTAACCATAAAGAAAAATATATTTAAAAGGCATGCCGAGGTTGCAAGTAATCAGTTGAGGATAAAAACATTAAACAAGGTGCCACAAAAGATAAAACCAACATTAAAGACATAAATGAAGGTTTTTCTGCCCCCAGTTTGGCAAGCTAAAGGAAATAATTTTTGTTATGAACCTTGAGTCCAATAAGCCACATTGATCCTGCAACAGAAATGGACAACAAGCCCCTAAGTTAGTAAAAAAAAATTTTATCAGTACCAGGGATTGCTGGGTGAAAACGGGCCCTAAAACACAAACAGGCCCCAACACCCTACATGGGCGTAGGTCCCCCACATAGGCCTATGCCATACACACAGCCCCAGGTCCCCCACACGGGTCTAGGCCATACACATGGGCCTAGGTCCCCCACACGGGCATAGGCCACACACATTACAAGTAGGCGAGAGCCCCCAGAATCCGGTGCAGAAAAAGCGCGAGCTTGTCTGCAGTCACTGTGCACATTCAAATTACAAATGGGCAAAAACCCCTACACGGGCCGAAACCCAAAGTTACGAATGGGCCCCAAAAGCCCTAAATTACAAAATGGGCAAAAAGGCCCCTGGAAGTTGTCTCATTTTATCTGCAGTTACAAATGTGCACACTCAGATTACAAACAGGCAAAAAACCAAATACTTACAGATGTTAAGCCAATCGATCGGTGAAAAAATAATTTGGAGGGGTCCCCCAGTACTCCCAGGTGAGCCCCTTAATCTTGTAATCCACAAACAAGCCCTCCAAAGCCCAAACTTGAATTCAAAAATGGGCATACATATTTTTATTTTAAAAAAACAGCGCTGATTTATTTTATCCTAGGCCCACTGACACAGTACAGGTGGAGCTTGCAAAAGCTGTGTGTCCCCCTTAAAGCTTTCTAGCTCTTTTGTAGAGAGCACAGTTTATAAAAGGGTTATGGGGGTGGATCAGGAAATCTGCTAAGGAAATGTTTTCCTTAGCAGAGGACAGAGTAGCCTAGCAGTAGTTAATAAACCTTTGTCAGCTTATTTTAGTACCACATCTGTTATTTGTAGAGGGCAACAATGGTTAACATATCAATTAGGTTAGGTTCCCAGGGATTTACAATTTTTTACAGAAGGGAGTATTGATTAACATATGAGGTCACCCAGAGGGGGGCGGGGGGGGGGTCACATACAGAACAGTAGGTAGCATTACAGGTACTTTGGCATTATACAAACATAAGGAAGCTCTTTTTGCTAGTATATAGCATTAAAGAAATATCATGACCTTTTAATTTTCCTGTGTTTAAACTTGGATTTATATTACATTTTTTTTTTGTTTGTTTGTTTGTTTTTTTGTCTGAGACAGGGTCTCCCTATGCAGTTCAGGCTGGCCTTGAGCTCACTTTGTAGCCCAGGCTGGTCTGGAACTCACAAGGATCATCCTGCCCTAGCCTCCTGAGTGCTGGGATTCCAGATATGAGCCACCATGCCCAGCTGATTTACATTATTTTAATAAAACTATATGAGACAAAGCACTTTAAAACAACGGGCAAATAGCAAGCAATTATCAAAAGTAACTGGCAAATATAAAAGCAAATTTGGAGGCATAAAAATTTGTTACCTAAATAAGTCCCACTTGAGAGTCTATGAAGCAAAAGCAAATTCTCACCTCTTTCCAATGATCTCAGTGGAAGACCTCCAAATGATATAGGGGAGTGAAACTCCTGACCTACTATGTCAGGAGGAGCAAAACACAGTTGACAAAGAATGCCCTAAAGGGGCGATACCAGTTTCCCCAGCACTTCTCCAAAGAGGTGCAAAGCTTAATCAAGGGGCTTCTCAACCCTGACCCAAGCATGCGCCCTACCTTGGAGCAAGTAAGGCAGCATCCATGGCTTTAGCTTGAATCTGTCCCTTGTCATCCTCCTCAACTGCTCCCCAAAGCCACAGAAAGGGCAATACCGCACATTATGGCTGGGAAGGGGTACAACCGGCTGAAGGTGAATTCATGTTCTCTAAAATCAAAGAGTAAATTTTAGGAACAATAGAGGTAAAGAGTAAAATATATTTATTGAGAGAAAGCAAGCTTCTGTCTGAGAGAGACAGGAGGAGTCCCAAGCAGTGGGACTCTGTCTTTCCCAGGGACTTTTATAGAGGAAAATCATGGGATGAGATGGACTTGTGGGCAAAACTGGGAACTCACAAGGCAGATGGGCATAAGGTAGGGCAGAACTATAGTTAACCAATAAGATTAATAGTTCAGGTAAATTCATTAAATTGGGGACAAATGGGGAAGTGAGCCACTTAGAAAGCAGGCATTCTTAGAGAGCAGTGAATCTTCCCTAGGGGGTTGGAATGGTGACTCCTGACTTCCGCGGGGTGCTAAGAAGCTATTTAGAACATCAGTCCTTATGGATGTATTTGTTTGATCTTTTGTCTTGAGGTTTGGCCCACAGCAGGAGGTGCCTGTCTCCCCTTAGCTGCAAGGTATCTGAGCTCCTGCACTGGCTGCTTCCAGGACCTAGCCCTGTCTCCCTGCCTATAGTATTTCTAGCTAACTCAGGGGCCCGAAACACTACTGCAGGCTTGCTGGGATCTGACAGCACGCAGCTGGGCTCGGAGTGCCTCCACTGTCTTCTCTGCACTGGACACTGCAATAAGACCACAGACCGCAGAGGCCTGCCACAGGTTTAAAGTCAGAGAACTTTTTGTCTTTGTGTTTTGTTTTTCCTGCCTGTGTACATTGTTCTCAGCTTTTGTATTTTTCTCTCTTTTTTGGTCCTGCTTTTTGCTCCTGTTTTATCACTCGTTTTCTAAGGCCTGGTAATCTCCCTTTGTACTTCAGTCTTCTTATCTCTCTTTTATTTTTCTGTATTTTCTTGGTATCCCTAATAAATTTTCTCCCTTTAGGGTAAATTGCTCTATTGAGTATATATATTTACTGTATATAATATTCTGCTTTGCCTTAGATTTGGCTGTGTAACTATAAATCTCATACCTGTGGTTAAAGCAGGCATGTTCTTGGTCAAAACAGCTTATCATTTCCTGGCCTGTGCTGGATGCAGTTGTTATTGCAGACTGTACTATTTTAGCCAAAGTGGCAGAGTTATTGGCATCAATTGATCTTCTTTGAACAACACCACCTCGGTTGTCTACAATCCTGTAGTCCAAAACCAAAGAACTGGTTGCTGGGCCAAACAGGCAGCAGCCCTTCATTCCTACCGAACTGAAGAGGCAGAGCTGGGGATGGAGCTCAGTGGCACAGCTCCTGCCTGGCAACCACAAGACCCTGAGTTTGATTCCCAGTACCAAAAAAGAAATTCCATAGTTTCTTGTTTTGAAAAAAGAAAAAAGAAAAGGCAAAATCTTGGGAAAATAGACTCCAAAGCCAGCTACCCATACAGAACATCTCTGAAAAAGTAGTCATTTCCTAAAGAGGTCGCAATGCTGGCAATAAGCTACTGACTATAAGCAATTTACAAGCCTCAAGGCACAAAGCAAGTACGAAAATAGAAAGTGAGAAAATACAGAAGCAAGATGCATGATGACATGTGTTATGTGCATGTTCCAACTTGCCCTGAACACTCTGGTTCAGATCCTGCCCCAGATGCTGCAAACACAGACCACAGTTTGGAAGTCATCAATGTCTTCTCTTTACCAAATGTCACTGTTCCCACGGTGGCAAGCAACACCCCCATGTGTGGAGATTTCCTTGTTCCAAACTCTGTCCCCACAACATGCATGCCTGTGTGCCCTCGAGGCTGGATGTTAGTCTCTGTTCAGTGACACAAGACTTGGCAATGTGCTCCTTTCAAAGGCTTGCAGACACAGACTTGGGGACAGCATTCAGAAGACCAGGGTTTGGGTCCATGTCTCTTCATGGGGATGTGTGGGGGTGATGGTAGATGACCCCTTGCTCTTCCCAGAACACACCCTACTGCCAGGCACAATAAGAATCAAAACCATGAAGTCAGAGAAACAGTGTGAAGTTAGAGGTGTGGAACAGGCCAGAGCGGTTGAGCACTGCTTATGTAGGCAGGGTTTGGTCTACTCAGGCTGTTCCTTTTTGCCAGGAGCAGGGCTCTGGATAAAACCAGGGCAGTGCTCAGACGCCTCAGATCTTTTGCATCCTTCACACATACACTCACCTTGTCAGAAATCTCAGGCTTTCTGGGGTGCCTGCCCCTCTCCCCATCTTCAAACTCTCAAGAGGCCCAGAAGCCCCAAGGTGAGGGCACAAAGTTTTCCCAAGACCTTGGAACCCAGCCCTTCCTTGCCACTGCTGTTCCATCTTGCTACCACACGGTGGCAGTGGACAGCACAGCACCCTTTTTAGGGACAAGGGAGGACCCCAAAGGAATGCTGCAATGATCACAGAGGTTTGTAGAGTTAAGAGGGTACTTGATGGCTGGGCCTGGGATCTAGGGGCAATGTCACACTCCTGCCTAGGAGCAGGGCTGCAGCGGTTGCCATCATGAATTTGGTGGATGGAGGCTCAGAGTAGCCTTGGCATGTCCCCGGGCTGCTCACAACATGCACAAGTCAAGGCTTCTGTGTGGTGACCAGGGCTGACCACAAGGTTCTGGCCTATGGAACACATGGCACTGCCTCTCTTTGCCTGGACTCACCATCCTCGAAGTGACACTAGGTGTGTTCTTGGCCTATGGCCTTCACGCAGGCCTGCTGAGAGGTGAGCACGGAAGACACAGAGATGCCCCAGGCCCGAGTCTGTGGGATCACGCTGAAGCTGTACTAGGAAAGTTTCACCCAGACACAGACCCAGGTCTCCTTGCATCCCCATGGGAGGTTGTGGTCAGGTGTGGTCAGGTCCATGGTACCCAGGTCTCCCTGCATCCTCATGGGAGGTTGTGGTCAGGTCCATGGTGCCCAGCCCTCCCTGTCCCTGGGGCAGCCTCCCTCAGACAGCAGGATACAAGCCAGGTGACTCTCCCCCCTGCTCCTCCTGTCTTCCTCTCACTGGCTCTCAGCTCCTGGTGCCTGTGCAGCCTTCCCATGCTGTGCACCAACCCCTCCCTCTGCTTCTCGCCCACAGGATACACTAGTGATCTTGACTCCTCCTCTCCCCTCCAGCTCCCTGCACAAAGGGCTGCAAGGCAACTCACTGTGGCTTCCACTTGTGTGGCTTACCTCACTGTCAGGATGACCACGTCCATAGGAGGGATCATGGATCTGCACTACAAAGGCAAGGAGACATGTGTAATGCACGCTCACTGGGAAACACAGCAGACAATGGTGGCTGTGGTCACTCCAGCCTCCTCTGCAGCAGACCCCACTGCAACTCCTCCTACCCACACCTGGCCTCTGCCCACACCTGCCCTTCTCCCTCCCCTCCTCTCCTCCCTACAGTTCTTCCCTGACAGTTGAAAATGATATCGAGGGCTGGGGATTTAGCTCAGCGGCATAAGTGCCTGCCTTGCAAGCAAGCAGTCATGAGTTCAATTCCCGGTACTGATAAAAAGGAAAAAGAAAAAAAAAAAAAAAAAAAAAAAAAAGAAAATGATATCGAGACACAGCACATTCTGAGGAAGCAGCCGGACCACTCAGACTCCTTGAGTGACCTCTGGTTCTCTACTGTGCAGTACTTACACTGGGACCACCTTGTGTTTGTGACACTTGCATGTCGATACGGGGCAGCAGCACAGGGCCTGCAGGCAGTCTCTCATGGTTCTCTTGACAGTTTTCCAGCCCCACCTCCTACTGCTGACAGGGGCTGGGGCAGCAGTGAAGGCAGCATTTGGAGTCCCAGGGCTGTGCTGGAAGGACTCACCGGGAGAGGCAGGGTTGGGCTGCCAGCATGGCCTAGTAGAGGCACGGAAGATTTTCTTGATGGGAGAAGCAGGGCTTGGTTGATGGGATGCTTTAGGGGTAGCAGGTCCTGGATGGTAGGACTTGATGGGAGAAGCAGGGCTTGGTTGATGGGATGCTTTAGGGGTAGCAGGTCCTGGATGGTAGGACTTGATGGGAGAAGCAGGGCTTGGTTGATGGGATGCTTTAGGGGTAGCAGGTCCTGGATGGTAGGACTTGATGGGAGAAGCAGGGCTTGGTTGACGGGATGCTTTGGGAGTAGAAGGGCCTGGCTGGCAGGACTTGATGGTAGTAGTATGGCTGGGCTGGCAGGCCTTGGTAGTAGCAGCAGCACAACTTGGTTTGTGGGATGCTATGAGGTTAGCGGGGCCTGGCTGGCCAGAGGTACCAACTAAGTTTGGACCGCGCTGGCAGGATGTGCGAGCAGGGGGAGTCCTGCTGATGTCAATTGGCAGGGAGACTGTCTTCCTTTGCTGGCCGAGAGGCTTCACCTCGGGGAGGAAGTGGCCAGTGAAGAGGCAGGGCTCACTCTCCCTCCTAGCTGGTGGGGAAGCTACAGGGGGAGGAGATGAAGATAGCCGATTTTCATCTTTGTTTGTGGGCTGTTCAAACAGATCTTCAGCCTTATGTTTGTGTGTGGGCTTCGCCTCAGATCTGAAGTGGAATTTCCGGAGTGCCATGCCCCGTAGTAGCAGGAAGGGCACCATGTAAGGATCGTATTTTCTGTACTTCACTGCATCGATCACCTTCAGCGGGTTGTACCCCTTCCCATCCATAATGTGCAGTATTGCCCTTTCTGTGGCTTTGGGGAGCAGTTTAGGAGGATGACGAGGGACAGATTCCAGCCGAAGCCATGGATGCTGCCTTACTTGCTCGATGGTAGGGTGCATGCTTGGGTCAGGGTTGAGAAGACCCTTTATTAAACTTTGTAGTTCTTTGGAGAAGTGCTGGGGAAACTGGTATCGCCCCTTCAGGGCATTCTCTATCCCTTGTCCTTGGCTCCCATTAAATGGGTTTACCCCAGCGATCATTTCATATAAAATTATGCCTAAAGACCAAATGTCCAGTGGTGGGCCTTGGTAGTTCTCTTTTAAGAATACCTCAGGGGCGGAATAGTATAGGGTACCTCCACACGCGGTCACCTCCTGGCCAGGATGGAACCTGAAAGCCAAGCCAAAATCGCTGAGCTTGGGGTGGCCTTCACGGTCCATTAATATGTTTGCTGGTTTCAAGTCCCCATGGACAATCCCCCTGTCATGGCAGTACCACACAGCCTCCAGGAGTTCTCGGAATATCAGCCGGGCCCTCTCTTCCTCCAGCTTCTGTGTCTCAGCAAACTTGATAAAGCGCTGCAGGTCTTTCCCGCGCGCATACTCCAACACCAGGAACATACAGGTACTATTTTCTGACACTTCCAGCAACTGAATGATATTGGGGTGCTGAAGGTCCTTTAGAATGCTGACCTCCTGTTTAACAGCAGTAGGCCCCAACTTGTTCTTGTGAAGTACCTTCACAACTACCAGCATCCCTGTGCTCACATGTTCAGTGAGTACTACTGTGGCAAAGTTACCCTCACTAAGGGGCAACAGCATGTCATAGTCTTCCCAGAAGATTTCTGTGGACGATGACATTTCTGTGGACGATGACATGACGTCCAGCAAAGATGTTTTACATGCCACAAAGGATGCCTTGATGGAACTAGACATTATAAAATCAATTATCAAAATTTCGAATCTCCAACCACCAACTCCTCTCCAAACACCACTCCACTTCACCCACAAAGGGTCTCTGGGCTGAAAACCCTACCTTATACAGCTATCTGCTGTGACCTCACAGGGGATCTTGTGAAGTCATGGTGCCAGTGGGCCCAGGCAGAGCTGGTCACCTCAACTTCACCCCTCACACTCTTGGCCATGAGGGTCTTTTGTTTCTAACAGAAAAATGTTACAAAATGTCTTACTAATGTGAGTTATGGAGATTGACACTTGAGTTTTTGAAATTCAAACCTGTAGGATGCTTCAATATCCCTTTTGTTTCTGTTCTGAGAATCTGTTCTCAGCATCTGTAATACCTCTTACATTTAGAGATCCCATGATGTCTACACTCAGCATCTCCAGTTCCTTTTGCTCTTAATTCTTACTGGTGTCAAAGTGATGCTGCAACTTCACTTACATTAGAATAACGTAACGGTCAGTGTATAAAATATGACAAATAAATTAATGCCTGTGCAGCTGACAGCAATTCCCCAAAAACATAGTCATTAGACTTATCCTCAAAATCCTTGGAGAGCAGCGGCAAGCACAGTCACAGAAAGGACACCCAAGAGTTGGAGACACATTTATTTACACCAACGGGCACTGATTGGTACATTCCCAGAATATCAGGCCCTGATCTCTGATGGTCTGAGGCCTGTATAGGATAAGCAAGTGGGGAGTACAGGGGCAAAATGGCTTGTTGATTGGGGCTGGTTTATGCAGTGTGCATCACAGTGACCAGCTAGGCATCACAGTGACCAGCCGTTTCTTAGAGACAGAACTGTTACCTGGACAACTAAGAAACTGCAGTATACTGACTGGGGTGCAGGATATTCTGTTACAGGAGGACAGAAGGAAACAGGTGGACATGTGCTGTGTGAATGAAACAGTGAAACAAAACAAAAAGCTCTCTCAACTAAGCATTTCACATCCAGCAAAACTGTCCTTAAAATGAGGGGGAAAGCTCAGACATTCTTAGATGCAAGCACTGAAGAATGTCCGTCCTTCCTAGTAGGCCTGCCTTGGGTAGAGGAGTCCCTTAGGTTGAAATGGAAGAACCAGCTCTGGTCCCACATGCCTGTGATCCAGCACTCAGGAGGCTGAGGCAAGATGATCACTGTGAGTTCAAGGCCAGCATGGGCTACAGAGCAAGACCCTGGCTCACAAAGGAGAATTTTTTTGCAGGAACTCAAGTCTGAAGAAAAGTCTGTTAAAACTGAATACGTGGACCTTTATGAAAATCAGGACTGGTTTTGTATTCTACATGTTAGAGGCTCACATATTGAAAAGAAAACAATGCACCCTGTAGTACTGTATTTCCTGAGACACAGTCTGGCATACGTGGAGGAAACTACAAACTCACTCCCCAGATGTGGGGCAGCATCCTATATATGGCTATGTTTAACTGCCACGGATTCATACCACCCTGGGGTGGCCTTGGGATTTTCAAAGTTATATCCACGGCATCCTCAAAGAAAACATAAGTAGCTTTTACACAGGTGACGAGCCCATTCACTCCAAAACGAATGACTCCTGCAGAAGAGCGGGACAGCTGCTGCTGGAGTGGGGACAGCCACGCCCAAGCCTCTCTCCCAGTCAGCAGCATTCGCAGACTGTGGAGCGAGAACCAGGCCTCACAAGGGGGTGGGCCCTGCCTGGAAACCATGTCATTTTCATTGCTTTGTTGGTTGGGTTTTATTCTTTCATTTTGTTTGATTATATTAAATCTGATGCCATGAACAACTGTTCAAAAGATAGCAAGACGTGTTATGGTAGCCATTCTGGACTTACTGTGAGCTTGTTTTGAAGTCCTTTACTGCAGTCATTGTTTTGTGTTTGTTGTTTCTGCTCTATTCTGTTGTTTGATTTTTACCAGGTCCAAAGGTATCTGCAGCTATTTTGAAGATGATAGAGGCATTATGGTAACTATTGCTGATTTTCTAAGTTTTAAAGACCTGTATCACTTATACTGGTTTATCTTGATCGGTTTTGTTCTGTTTTATTTTCCTTGGTTTTATCCTCTTTTTAGGCCAGGGATTTAACTCAGCAGCATAAGATCTGTCTGGCAAGTGTGAGGTCCTGAGTTTGATCCCTGATACGAAAAACATAAAATAAAATAAAATTTTAAAAAATAAAGAAGAAGAAGACAAAAAAGAGCAAGGACAAGATGCTGCAAGGCTCATGAAACAGCCACCTGACAGAGGCAAACTCTTGCAAGCTCTAATTCCCTTCTAATGAAGGGGCAGTGTCTTCCCAATCAAAAGCAGAGACTGGGAGACGTGATGGGAAACCTCACCCAATTAGATGCAAAGCAAGAAGGTAGAAAAAGTACAAAGTAAAAGTCCTCTGTGCCAAATACAGAAGAGTTGGCCACTCTACTGTTGGAGTGGGTCTTTGGTTAAGAAAAGGTTTCAGGAGACACAGGGACATATTAAGAGTGTAGGTAGCAACATAACTACATGCAGCAGGCCTATCCTGTACCAGTAAATTTTACTTTAGTGCAATAGCCAGCTGGGCATGTCACTACCTTCCCCTGAGGGACACTGGAAAGCAGTTTATGTGATTATCCACTTGCTGTGTCAAACAATGAGGTGTGTGAGCAAGTGCAAAAGTCTCAAAATGGGATTTTCACCCACGTTGTGCTCCATCTAACTGCTTTTGTGTGTTTATTCAAGCATCAAAGAGGGTTCAATAATATCCCATTACTCCAGGATTTGTCTTTTTAAAAGCTTTCTTTTGATTTTTCTGGTGGAAATAGCCCAGTTCTGTACAATGGCATGTGAAAACTATATCTTGGAGGAGGTCACAAGTGAATGAATCATCAGATTACTCATGCATGAATGATGAAGATGATCCATTATGACAAAACACTTTCATAACAGAAGAGTGTTGTGGATGGATGGATGTTGATGAAGAGGAGGAAGAGGACTTTGAAATTGGCCATGTGAGTCAAACTTCCTGGGACAGTGAAGTGGAGCAAAGATCAACTGATACTGATACCGACCTCCTTTGTTAAGATGACAAAACAATGTGAATACATATTTGACTAGTGAAAATGTTGCAAAATGGCCACATAACCAAATGAAATGATCTAATGTTAATACTAAGTTCAAAATATAGTGAGGGACTTGGCAAGAGTGAAATGTATTGGACGAATGCTGATACTGCTATTCAAAGTTGGAAATTTTTAGCACATGAAATGTTACAAGATTCTGTGAAATATACAGAGGTTAAAATTCAAGTAAAGTGTTCTCTATGCACCATTAGCCATATTCAAAAACGTTTTATGACATGGTGCTGAACTGAAAGCATTTATGGATCTGTGTGCTTAGGAGGGATTTCTCATAGTGATTGCAGGAATGTAAAGGCCTCATGGAAAATGATGGGTCAACTCTGGCATAATGCATGCCCTTGTGCATGTGAGGACTTTTTATGCTTTCAATTTAGACATTTAGCCTTGAACTTAGCCACAAGGTGTTTATTCATAGAATAATAAACCAGATGATGTTATGAACAGAAATGTTCTTAAGGTTTGGGACTACAGTTCATATGAGGTTATTTACAGCAGAGAAATATCCAGCTTTTCTTGTCAGTGAATTATGTGAAGTACTGTGGAGTGCACTGGTGAGCTGACAGGTGAATAGGCACACACAGCTTCCTAGATCCACGATGATAAGAGGAAAACTAAAAGATCTCAACTGTGTCCTACAAGAAAATACAGGAAAACAAAACATGCTATCAGTGGAAGTGTCCCTCGTATATGGAACATGCAAGACTGCCTTGGGTATGACAAGTGCAAAGACTGCTTTGGATATGACAGTTGAAGCAAAGCTTATTTATGTGGTAGATTTTTGTTTTTGTTTACATTGCAGTTCACATAGGTTTCTATTTTTGATGTTATCTTTGATGTGAAAATATATTGATGTGTATTCTTTTTTTTTTTTTTTTTTTTTTGTCTTTTTCATTTTTTTATCAGTACCGGGGATTGAACTCACGACCGCCTACTTGCAAGGCAGGTGCTTATGCTGCTGAGCTAAACCCCCAGCCCCATTGATGTGTATTCTAAAGGCACAACACACAGTAAGAATTTAAGAACTTCTTTTGATATTTTATGTTCCTGTTGGCTGCACACTCTGTAACACAATAACCTTGACAAAACAGCAAAACTGAGATATCAAGTATATCCTACAAAAAGAGTAGGACAGCAAAACGTGTGCTCCCAGTGTGAGTATTATGTGTCTATGGAATACGCTGTGGTCATGTGCACAGACTGATTTAGATGTGATAATTGAAGTGAAGATTACTTTTTTGTAAATTGCTGTTGGTATTTTCAGTGTAATTTGTATAGGAATATTTTTGTTATTTTTTGTAGACTTTATGCCAAAAAATTGTTGATGTTTTAAATTTTGATGCTTTATTATAAACACTCAATAAATATTAAAAATTCAATACTTTATATTTTTTTGTTTTTTTTCCTGGTAAGCCACTGTGTAATATAACAACACTTATAAAAGTAAAGTTAATAACTCATCAATAGAAATATTCTAAAGAATGAATGTGTGTCTGGTAATGAATGTGTCTATGTTTCTGCACCTTTATGACAAAGTTAGTGTTATGCTCCTGAAATAGTCAAGACCAGGAAAGTTTGCAGGGATGCTGTTTACAGTGTCATCATCTAACCTTGAAGACTCCTCTGGAGGTTTCACCTACATCCTGCCATGCAGACAAGCTCTCTATCTACAGTTGCCAAATCCTGAGAGGCAACACACCTCCTGCAACTGGAGTTCAGTATTCTGTCTCTGAGGTGAACATCAAGATGGTCATACATGTGCCAGGCCCTGGGAGAACTCCTGCTCGTCCTCTGAGAGTTCAGGGAAATCCCTGGGCACTGAGATCACTGCCCCTCTAAACCAGGGGCTCCCAGTCACTTCTCCTGTTTCTACACTAACAATGTCAAACAATCTGACAGTTTCAAGGCCAGGGAAGCTAGAGAGGCCTTGCAGCCAGGCCATCCACAGTGTGTTTCAGACAGGACTGGCTGGGCTCCAGCGAGGGAAGTGGTTGCCCTGAAGTCCTGCAGAGTGGTTTTGAAAGAGAGTTTTGTAGGATATATCACCTGGGTTGGATGTTGCTTTCTTTTATGTGTTGAAATACCTCACTCCAAGCTCTCCTGGTCTTAATGGTTTGTGTTGAGAAGTGTGCTGTATTTCTAATGGTTTTACATTTATAAGTGATTCCTTGCTTTTCTTTATGAGGTTATAAGATTCTGTTCTCACCTTGGACTTCCCAGGTATTAACTGTCATATGTCATGGGGAGATCCTTTTCTGATTGTGGCTACTTGGGGTTTCATCTGTCTTTCTTATCTGCATGTCAAGTTACTTCCCCATATTCAGAAAGTTTTCTGCTATTGTTTCTGTCACAGATTTTTATGCCATCTGTGCTGTCTTGTGGTTTTTCACTTATTCTAGTTGTCTGTGCACCGTCTAATAGCTGTTGGATCTACTGTCCATGTTCCAGTTTTGTAAGGTGTCCCTGAGTATTTGGGCACTGACACCAGCCCTGTCTTCTAACTCCAGGGCTCTGTCCTTGTGGTCATTTCTGTTGCCCACACTTTGGATACAAGTTTAATTCTCTAGGATTTGTTTGGTACCATTTATGGACTCAAATTCGTTGCTAAGTCACTCATTTACGTTGTGTATCATGTCTTTTTTTTAGCTCAGGTAATTTTGTAGTAGTGTATTTTGTAAATGTACTGATCATTCTGTTGAATTTAAGCTTTTATCACCTTGAATAATTCAGATGATAATTCACTGTCACTACTGTGGAAATCTCTTTAGTTAGTGCTTTTCAGTGATGCTCTAAGAGGTGTTTCTCTCCATTGTTTAAGTTTTAAGAACACTTGTGTCTGTTCTTTTCAAGGGTATTGATGTGTAGTTATCTCTCTGATACTTGTGTCTGCTCTGAATAATCACAATAACAGTGACCTCATAAACTGGGAAATTTTGCTCCTCAAATTCTTATGACAGTGTATAAAACTGATACTTCTTCTATCTTCAGTGTTTGGTAAAATTCAGCAGTGAAGCTAATCAAGCCTGAAGTTACTCAGAAAGGTCTAACGAATTCAGTGTCTTCCATGGAAATGAGGCACAGGCCCATAGACTTGGGCCCTTCTTGTCTTTCAGGAAATTTTTTCCCTGCATCAAAGCTTTCAAACATATCCGCTAACATTCTCTCCTTTGTTTTAGATTATATTTTTGGCCCTGGGAATTGAACTCAGGGCCTTGCGCTTGCTGGGCAGGCACTTTGTCACTGAGCTCCATTCCCATGCTTCCTCTTAACTGTTTATTCTTTCAGGTTCTAGGTAAATAGTGTTGTCCCTAGTGTTAATTTCTAAATTTCATCATAGTGAATTTCATCATAGTATTTCATCATAGTGTTCACCATAGTGTTCATCATAGTATTCATCATAGTATTTCATCATAGTATTTCATCATAGTGAGAGAAAATTCTCTGCATAATTGAAATTCTTTTAAATTTATTGGGGTTTATTTTGTGACTGTGTTGGAAACATTTCCTCCATGTACACTTGGCAGCAGTGAATACTACACTGTTGTTTGGATGGGATGCTTCAGTCAGTGGCAGTTGGTACAAGTTTGTCCATAACATGCAATCTTTTGATCCCTAAAAATTGTGTTTAATTTTTCTATTAAATTGTGAGGACGTTGAAATGTCTGACTATAATTCTGTATTCAGTTGTCCTTTTATCAGTTTTTTGCACATTTCGAAGCTCTGTGCACACGTGTTCTGAATTCTTACACACTTGTGGTCAATTGGTGTCTTTCTCCTGAAACAACCTGTTTTATTCTTGGGAATGCAGTCTTCACTCAGAAATTGACTTTCCCTGACACTCCTGTTGTCACTGCAACTGCCTTGGGCATTGAACTGGCCAGAGCTTTGTGTATCCTCTTTTGACCAAATTGTACTCTTATCTTCAGAGGGGATTTCTGGTCCACTGAGGTAGAGATAGCAACACGGAAGGAGAAAATTCCCCTTAGGCACACAGTAGAGACTGAAGTGTGACAGGCACATTCCAGTAGAGCACAGGGCCCTGACTGAGCAGAAGTTGGAAGTGAGGTAGTCTACGTAGGTAGTTACCAAGTAGCAGCCCATGGTATCCATAGCAGAGCTGGGAAATAATTTCCTGTGCAAATCTTGGCAAACACTACCATCAAGAAGATGCAGCATCACATCAGCAGTTCTTGGGCTTAGGGACATCATGACCCTCCTAGTGAGACACCTGGGGTGGGACCGTCACCTCTGCAGTGCTCTTGACAGAAACACATCACCATAGTCTCAGCATGAGGGAATGACAGGCAGGCAGTCAAGTGACCTGTGCACAGGAACAAGGACAGCGTTCCTGGTAGACAGAGGACAGCCACAGATGGGAGGAGACAGCGGTGTCCCGCCACTGCACACAATGTGGAGTCCTAGATAGGTCCTGTAAAAGACAGATGGGAGAAGCCCAGGTGAACTGTCCACTGTACTTAGCAGTACTGCAGGAACGTCCACTTCCTAATGTCACTCATCGTCCCTCGGATCTCTTACGTTCCTCCTGTCTGAAGAAGCCAGGTGATCAGTGTATAGGAACTCAATGACCTTCTTAAAATCTGAAACTATTTCTACATAAAAGGAAAATAAAGCTAATAAGCAGCTTCTTTGTAGGTGCAATGGTTAATCTCACCTGACAGTCTGTGCTTTGAAATTGGTGATGAATGCAAATCACTGCCCTGTGTTCACTCAGCTGGTTCCAGCCTATCTTCCAGCTCTGTTTTACCCACCCTTTGTTTGCTCTTCCCTGATTTTCCTCCTCCCTTTGGATTAGTATTCTCGTCTCTCACCCTGCTGAGCCTCTATCCTGTTGCATGTATGTTGCTGCCTTCCAGCGTGTGCCATTGGTCAGCCAGGCCTCCCTTCAGCAGTGACCCACCAGGCCACGTGTGTGCAGGGAAACAGTGCGACATTTCTGCCTTCCCAGGCTGTGTGCTGCTGTTTCCTACATTTTATTTCTGTGCTCACCGTGGACCTCACTGTACCTGGCCATTATTCTTCTTTCCATTGTGACAGAAGGTGCCTAACATGAACTCACCCTCATTGCCCTCAAGTGCACAGCCCCTGGCATTGGGCACCTCAGGGTGCTGGGTGACCATCTCTGCCTGCACCTCCACAGGGCCTGTGTCACAGGACTGCTATCCTCTATGAAGTGTTGGTTTGACTTCATGAGTAATTGGGAGAATGATAAACTTGAGTTTTTATGACCGCCATTTGTTCCATTCCTGGTGATCCTCACACTCATATCACTGCCTTCCTGGGAAGCTTTCCTTTCATCTCCCTTGCTGAGCAGCTCTGCTGAGGAGGGACACCCTGGCCACCCATGTGTCTGAGGCCATCACAAGAGGCCTCTGTGCTGACAGCAGCAGCTGGCAGGCCTGGGAGATATATATCTGTATGACACATGTGTGAGTCAGAATCATTGCCCTGAGAGAAGGGGACCAGACACAGACCACACACACTGTGAACCCATGTTCCTGAGACTCAAAAGGGAAAGCAATTTAACTATGAATAGACCCATGGGAGCCTGGGCTGACTGTTCAAAACCAGGGGCTGGCTCCAGGGTCACAACCCTATCCCTGTGTGAGTGCTCGGCCACTGGTGCCCAGCCTAGAGCTGGCCTGGGCTGAAAGAGGGAGCTGGGACAGATCAGCACTGCCTGACTACCTTCCATGGTGCCTGGGTTGGGTGTTTGCCTGTGTCCTTGCAGTGTCCGTGCTGTTAAATGACAGGCCTTCCTCACCATCCCTGAGAGCTTCCCCACTCCCCAGCCTGTGTGAGTTTATCTGGGGGTGCTGGTCAGACGCTGAGCTGCTGTCAGGGGTGGAAAAGTAATAGCAAGAAAATATAGGAGCCTTGGGTTTTGTGAGACTTTTCTGACCCTTCTTTCTCCGGCCCTGGAGCAACAATTCCCAGCGAGGCCCCATCTCACCCCCTTGCCTGGGGAGTTCTGGTTTGGGGTGTGGAGACCCAGGGGTGGGAAGTGGGCTCAGCATCCTGCAGGTGGAGGCCCACGATGCTGCTAACCATCCTGCCATCCCGTGGAGGCCTGGCTGAGATCCCCCACGGGGACCAGAACCTCACTACAGCACAACCAGACAGAGCACTGCCCCACTCCAACCCTGTGGCCTGCTGTGGGAGGATGAGGTCCAGTGGGCTGGGGTCTAAGTGAGATCACAGGAAATGGAGGAAGTGGATCACCCCAGAAAGACAGGAGCACCTGTGGCAGAAGTGGGAACCAAGCATTTCCAGGACAGTCCATACTGTGCAGGTCATCGGGGTGTCAAAGTGAAACACACCAGCTCTTATACAAAATCTGATGAGTCCTTCCCTGTGACCATGGCCATGATGGCTCCCTGTAATCCTCTCCCTCCTGCCTCCCTGGGAGGAGCCACTGTTACTCAAAGCTGGCTATTGTGTCCCTGGATAAGAGGCAGCTGCTGAAGCCAGAGCCTAGTACCCTTCCATCTGCAGCTTGGAGTGAGAGTGGCTCCTCCCAGGCTCAGCAGACTGGGACCCTCCCTGGTCCAGTTTTTGTGGGCTAAAGCTGGGTCCTTGGCGTGTCATATCCTGGAAGGATGTGGACCAGGAAGGTCACAGGCAGCAACTGTCATGGTGTCACTCCCCAGGTTCCGCATGATGAGGATCACAGGGTGCCAGGGCATCACACTGCCCGCATGGTGCTCATGCAGAGTAAGAGTCCTGCAGCCTCCAAGCTGGCTGTCCAGCAGCCTCCGAGGATCCCTCCTCGGTGTACTCCAGGCTCTCCAGGCACAGGGGTGCCTGGGACAGCATACAGACCTCTGCAGCAGGAATCAAGTGGAGAGCCTGTGGCTAGCCACGGAGCCCCTGACACCTGGGTGGAGCACAGGAGTTTCTAGTAGCTCCTAAGTAATGGGAGCAGGTCCTACCACACTGTGCAAACTCAAACAGAGCCAGACCATACCAGCAGAGGCCCAAGCAGTCCCACAACATGTACCAGGATAGCCAGGGGTTCTCAACCCAGGCTTGAGCATCACCCAGCTGCTTGTGGAGATGCCAGGGATGGTGAGGACAGGCCAGGGGTGCTGCACAGTCTCATGCAAAGCTAGGGTTGTTTAGCCAAAATGCCCACAGTACCCAGTTGAGAAGCCATGCCTTATACCTCATGCTGGCAATGAATTTTGGGGTTTGCTATGGGGGAAAAAATAACAAAAGCAAAGAAAACTTTCCACTGAAAAACAAGGATAAAACCTTTCTGAGAAATGAGTAAACTGTGGGAGGCAGGGTCATGGGTGGGGAATGGGATGGCACCCTGAGCAGACTCTGGGGGTCCCACATTGGCCAAGGCCAGGGCAGAGTGGCAGAAAGCCCCAGGAAGGGAAGAGGGCGGGTATCAGCCTTTGAGTATCTCAGTGGCCAAGGCCTATATCAGCCTTTGACGGTCTCACAGGCCATCAGAAAGGAAAGTTCCCTGCAACAACTCTCCAGAGACTCTTCCCCCAGTGGAAGCTGGCTGGCTAGACACCCTTGTGAGAGCCATGTGGCTGCTGGGTCACGTGGCCTCATCTTGTACTCCACTGCCAGTGCTACAGCAGGAGGCAGCTATGGCCAGGCTCCTACCAGCTTCTAAGATGTGGCACAGAAAGATTCTGAGCACACTGCACTTGCCACCCATGTAGCTGTCATCCAGGTAGGCCTGGCTTAGCTTCCTGTGTTGGGGCTGCTTGGTTTTGTTTGTTTATTTGTTTTTGTTTTTGGTAATGTCATTGAACTCACAGCCTCACACTTTCCAGGCAGAAGCTTGAACCACTGAGCTAAACCCCTGGCCCACTGTGCTCCTTGTTGAGGCTGGAGCACTGGGACATGCTGGCCTGCAAAACAGCCTTCTGCTTCTTGAGCTGTGCTGGAACAGAGAGGGTGACAGGCAAGTGAGGGGGTCACTGTTGGGGAGAGCAGTCATGGCAGGAGACACAGATGACCATGGCCTTCTCTCGGGGCTGATACTGGCCTACATCACAATCTACCAGATGGAGACGTGGGCAGGACACAGGGCAGGCCAGGCTGCATCCAGGGCAGGCTCAGTTTGGGCAGGCAGAGAGGTCAAGGCTGGTAAGGTCAGGCAGGGAAGCAGAGCTCAGTCAGGTGTTTCTGCAGAGAGGACAGAGGTGGGGACAGCACTTGTCTCTGGGGAGTGATCTGGGCTGCACCCTCAGGACCAGTGGCAAAGGATCATGGTGAGGGCAAAGTTCTTGACCTCGGATCCTGCTGGCTTTTGTCCATGGGTGACTGACCAGCAAGGAAGTGTCCCTAGGCAAGGGCTGTGCTCACACAGGCAGGACTGTGTCCCCAGGGAAGCGGGTTCTCCTTTCCCCTTCCCAGCCCCTCACCTGGTATTGCTGTCCCTCCAAGTGGCTGTGGAGGCCAGAAAGGACAAGAGGCACCTCTCCTGCGGTCAGAGACAGAAAGGCCAAGTCAGGAGCACAGGTGGCCTGGGGAATCCAGGAGACATGAGGGATGATACCTCCTCCCTGTGGTTCTATCCATTGCTTCTCCATCTCCCACACTTCTTCCACAGACTCCCACAGGTCAGTGGTGAACTTCTGGGCTTGCAGGTAGGGGTGTTGGAGGTGATTCACACTCTGGGGTCTTCCCCGGCCATGGCAGTTGTGAGCCAGATGCTATTGGGGTAGTCTGTAAAGCAGAGGGGTGGGCATGGGTGCAGTACATCCATGAAGTGGCCATGCTGGTCACAGGGCCTGGGGCATGGTAGCCTTAGAGCCTAGTGCTCTAAGCTCTGCCTCAGCAGCAGAATCAGGGTGAGCATGGATGGTCACATGTCCCTGACCTGGGCCCTGCCTGCACACCAAGTGAGGGTGACAGCCCAGTGCAAGGGAAGGTGCCCAGGCCTGCCTGAGGGTCAGGAAGATGGCCTTCACCTTGGGACCCTCACCCACTGCCAGGATCTGAGTCCCAGAGCAGAACAGAGAGGGTGGGGCATCATCCCATCACTCAGGCAGTGCTGGACCACAGGCTGGGAGTTGTTCTCCCCTGAGTGTTCTCCCTGAGCTCTTGGGACACCCAGTGGTGCCTTCCTAGTGCCATCTGGACTTTGGCTCTTGTCATGGGAATCCCCTGGCTGAGCATCTCCTGCTGGATATGTTGGGGGTCTTGGCCCAGTGGGGCTGCAAGCCACTGTGGTGTGCTGGATATGTGTACCAGTCCATTTGCACCACAGCTTTCCTGCTGCCACATAGGAAGGGACTCCAGGGACACCAAGCCTTCTGATTTTTCGACTGAAGTACGAGATGTTTAAATGTTGATGTGAAGATTTAAATATGGGCTCAACCGTGCTCCAGGATTTGGGGTTGTGCCTGGGAACCTGGGACCCATGGCCAGTCACACTGTCAGCTGCTTGCTGTACTGAGGTGGGCACAGAGTGGAGGAAGATGCCTCAGGGCAGGGGACACAGGTACCCTCAGCACAGATTCACAATGGTTTTGGAAGAGCAAGATCTGTAGGCCGTACAAGGACTGCTGGAAGCTGTATGTCATCAAGTTCTTTTTCTGAGAGGTCTTAGTGACCTGAGGCACACTAAGTCTCAGCACTCCAAGGACTGCAGGGCACCCGGGAACCTCGATCAGGCCCAGAGGCCAGCAGTCTGGGCTCAGCTGATCTGGGCAGACACTACGCTGGGGACAGTGCTTCCTATCCATCTGAGTCTCAGTGTCATTCCAGCTGGCACCTCAGTCCCATGGTATAGCAAAGAGATGCTGCCATGGCTGTGCATGGCCCCCTTAGGGCCCTGTCAAGCAGGAAGTGCCTGTCCTCCTGGACGGGCAGTAAGGGCCCTTGCTCTTTAAAGAATTAACCCTGGAGAGAAGCCAGATCACGCACAGGCCCAGCATGAGCCTTCCCTGTGCTGGGGAACAGTTGCCATGCCTGCACCTGAGACCCTCACAGCCCTTAGTTTTGTTTGGAGGAGAGAACTCTCTGGTCCTCCTCTGGTCCAGGGGGCAGGGCTCATGTGAGCCAATCAGAACACACTGTCCCTAGGAGCCACAGCAATTGGCTGGGGGTTGAGAGCAGCAGGCCCCTTCTGAGAAGCTCACCAGGCTCAGGCACCCTACTGTCACTGCAGTGGTGCTGCCCTGAAACCTGCAGCCAACCTGCCAGATGGGGGGCCCTGCACTAGGGGACCCATCAGGAAGGCCTGGGCCTGCCTTGGGGAGCACCTTGGCTCTCAAAGGACACAGACCTACTGTTAGGAGACAGGGCAAAGGGGACTTGTGTACCCTGGTGCCTGAGAATGGAAGTGTGAAGGCAGAAGTAGGACGGAAGAGGACTGGAGGGGATCTGGATGTTTTGCTGGGGCACCAGGGATGGGGACAGAGATGGGGACATGCCTCAATCTGCCAGGCTAGTGGCGGTCACAGAGCAGGCAGCAGTCACAAGTAGCATGATGGAGACAGAGCTAGGAGAAATAGACCCTGGGTCGCAAGGCCAAGAGCAGGCTGTTGCAATGGTGTGGACGCCCACAGAGGCCACCCCAAGGGCTGAAAGCTGTGTCTCCACCACAAGCCTGACCCTTGTGGCTGTGGTCTCAGGGATGCCAGAGGTCAGTCCAGGGAACCACGAAGCAGAAAATGCTGGTCACTCATGAACTCAGCAGCCAGAAGTCTGGCTCCTAGAGCACGGGGAACTGGCTAGGGACACGTCAGGACACATGGAGGCTCCCCAGGGTGGGTGGTCAGTGGCCAGAAGGAGAAGCAGAGAGGTACTCACAAGCCAAGCCGGTGATACAGTGATCTGATCTGTGGCAAAACAGCACAGGGACCGATGTTAACGTCCACAATCACCTTGGGACATTGGGGATGTGCACAGCAATGCCCAGCCAGGGCGCCAGGTCCTCAGCTCCACCAGCCTGGATACCAGGGAGTGGCCAAGGTGTAAAGCTCACTGTAGTGCCCTGTCAGGGACAGGGGGCTCAGATCACTAAGGAAAGAGCCTAGATTTAGCAGAGTTGGGCCATCACTAAGGACCTGAGGGCCTCAAGTGCAACCCGAGCAAACAGCCAGGATTCCTCAAGCCTGCAGGCACTGCTTTGAGTGCCTGGGAGTCCCCCGCCAGCTCTGCCTGCCAGAGGCCAGAATGGTGGGCAGGCGGCCCCATGCCTGAGGGCCAAGCATGTATGGGCTTCTTCCCCACGATCAGCTTCTTCACCTTCTGGGGGCAGCTGGGACATGTGGTCCTCATTTGTCTTCCGCTCCTGCTGTTGGATTCGCTCATAGATCCCAATCAGTGTCTCCTGGGGAATGTCCTCACCATTGTCCACACCTGGGCAGGGACAGCAGCTGGGGATCTGGGTGGTTGGCATGTGAGTGGCAGTAGGTCCACTTGGCCACAGCCCTCAGGTCACCTCCGGTCTCCAGTTTCAAAACCAGATGAGAAGAGCAAGCCTTTCCTGGTTCCCACTGGAGCCACAGCCCATGCAGCCACGCAGCTACAGAGCAGCCCGTGTCATCCCCGCATCCCCCACCTGGAGCAGGCCCAGCACAAGCCACCCTGATCCTCAGGGGACAGAAAGAGGGCGTGCCACCTTCTCAGCTGTGCACAATAAGGGCACAATAAGCAACATCTCGATCCCCAACCTCAGCCCCAGTGCTTCCACAAGTGGGAAACTGAGGCTGGGACACAGGAGGCTGTGTGGCTAGGCCCTGAGTTTGGAACAGAGTCCTGGTTTTGTCCCTTCCCGCAAGGTTAGCCAAGGGCAAGCCCTTTCAGGAGATAGGCAGTGCATGGAGGCCGAGGAGAGGGAGAGCCTTGCTGGCAGGTGCAGAGTGTTTGGCAGGTGAATCTCCGCCCTGCTCCTCTGCCGTCTTCCTCCCACAGGATCTGAGCTCCTGGTGCCCGCACAGCCTTCCCAGGGCGTGCGCCCTCATTCCCACAGGATGCACTAGTGGTCTTGCCTCCCCCTCCTCTCTCCTGCAGCTCACTAGACAAAGGGCTGCAAGATGACTCACTATGGCTTCCACCTGTGTGGCTGACCTCACTGTCATGTCCACAAATGCAAGCAGACATGTGTAATGGACGCTCACTAGGAAACATGGCAGATGGTGGTGGCTGCAGTAGACCCCACAGCAACTCCTCCTTGCCACCTGAGGCTCTTCCCTCTGCCCACACGTGCCCTTCCTGCCTCCTTCATCTCCTCCCTACAGTTACACCCTGACAATTGAAAATGATATCATCAAGCAGCGCACTTGAGAAAGTGCCCGGAGCACTCAGCCTCCTTGAATGTGGTCTGCTTCTCTGCTGTGCAGCACTTACACTGGGGCCACCTTGTGTTGGCTCCCAGGCTAGCAGGCGGTGGCAGCACATGGCCTGCAGGCAGTCTCTGATCCTCCTCTTCACAGCCTTCCAGCCCCACCTCCTACTGCTGACAGGGGCTGGGGTGGTGCAGGAGCTGGAGTGGGAGCTCCTTGGACCAAGCTGGCAGGACACTCTGAAAGTAGCAGGACTAGGTGGGCACGACACACTGCAGATGGGAACTGGGGGACACGGAGCCTCTCCCACCATGATTCCCTGGGGGTTTCATCCCAGGGAGAAAAGTTCAGTGCAAGAAGCAGGCACACTGGCCACCACTTGGAGGGAGAGATGAGGGGTTTGGATCTGTGGAGAATGGTGGCACCTCCTCTATATCTGCAAGCTTTACCTTGAATATGAAACCCGCCCCCCTGGAGCAGGTGGGGCTGTAGCAGCAGGACAGTGGTCATTCAGTGATCATTTTCTTGAGACTTGCAGAGTCAGTGACCTTCCATGGGTTATACCCCATCCTGGCCATGATGCCTGAGACTGCAGTCTTTATACACTTGGGGAATATTCCCTTTAAAATGTTCTTTTATATAACAATGGCAGTTTTCAGGAACTGGGGGAAAAGAAAAGCACCCCTCCCACAGTCCTTGAAATCCAACACACTCATATTCTCCACTCAGCTTCCTTTGAGTTGCTTCTGCAACAAGGTCCTGGTGCCCAGGGTTTATGGAGCAGCTGCCATGCCGGGAGGCGGGACACTCTCTCAGGTAAAGCCTGCCCTGCAGCCGCCTCACCAGTGACCCTCTCAAGTGGCTGCCCTCCCCAACTGTCACCAAGCCCTTGGCTGCTGTGGGGGAGCTCCTCCAGTGTCAACTATGATCCCCAACATCCTCCTCCAGGGGAAGGGCTGGGTCTGCCTAAGAAGAAGCATCTGGCCATGGCACCTGGAGCACCCACCATGCTGAGCTGTGCCCACTCTCACCCTTCTTTTCTGCCCTGAAGTCTCCCCAGAGGACCCTGGCGCTGCCCAATGTGTTTTCTGTCCTGAGTCCTGTACCTGGTGCCCCTCATCCTGGATGCCTGGGGCTCTGCTCAACCTGGGGTGCCAGGATTCCTGAGCATGGAAGGAGAGCCCATTTTGTGCAGGAAAGGGCCATGTGCCAAGGCATTTGGAACTTGTTCCTGGAGGGTGCAGTGCCCTGCACAGGTCAGCTGACTCTGGGGGACTCTGTGGGCCTGAAAGACCCACTATCCCTCTGTCTTTGCTGACCAGGGAGGTGAGAGGTCAGCACTGGCTTTCTTTCTCCCATATTTCTGAGTAGAGGAGATGGTTCCTCATAGACTGCTGTTTCTCTCAAGTCTTACAATGAAACTGATGCTCCTGACAGATGATCACCATTTTGCTGTTTTTCATCCTCCCTGCACTTGTTTGAGCAGTGGGTGGTGGTAACTGTGTCTGGGAGTTAGGGCAGAGAAGTGATTTCTCTCAGGGCCCTATCAAGGTCACTTTCCTTTAGGATTATATTGATTTTGCTGTATAAAACAATGAATAATTAAAGGAGATAAAATTCAGTTATTGGAAACAAATATATCATTCCTCACCATGCACTACATGGTCATGAATCAAGAAAATGCAATGAGATGTTGTTCAATTTCAAAAAATACCATGAAAGCTGGGGATTTAGCTCAGCGGCATAGGTGCCTCACTGGGAAGCACGAGGTCAGGCATTCAATCCCCAGAACCAATTAAAAAAAAAATACTGTCAAAGTTAAATAAGGATCTGTTGGGAGCCTGCCGTATTACCCATGAGAATATAGCCACAAGATGGTGTCCGCCTACCGCCTCGCTGCTCCCCCGCCCATCGTGTGCCCAAGATGGCGCACACATCCTGCTTCCTGGTTCTTGCTCGGCTTACTGTCCTCGCCATATATGGTAATGATTGATTGCTTCCTTGTTGCCGCCCAATCGCCTGTCCCCACGTGTAATCCCATGATTGGATAACATTAGCTATATAAGCCCAAGTGTAGGAAGTGCCCCACGCACAACATGTAGGAAGCCGTCAAGGACGGACGTGTATTGAGGTTGTAGCCCAGTCAATAAAGGAGCCTGCAGAGACAAAGTGTTCGTGTGGCTCATTCTGCGGGACAGACGCGGCGCCGGACAAGGATCCATATCAACTGAAATCCTATCCAGCAGCAAGGAATACGTAGAGAATGAAATTTAAAAGTAATGTCACAATATGGAATTTGAATGGAGCTAGAGCAATCAGTATAAATTCATATTTATCTTAGTAAAAACTGGCATGAACACATATAAAATTATTTAAAGATGTGCACACAGAGGATTGTGAAAACACACACACATTCCTGTTAAGAGCCTAGAAGCAACTACTCCCAGGAACAGCGCACACCAAGATCTAGGTTTTCTTACATACTCACCAAGAACAATAAATGGGAGGACTCCTCTTTATTCGTCTGGAAGAGCCTGAACACTGCTCTTCTGTCCTACCAACATGGAACAAGCCAACAGGCCTGGGGTTGTAGCTCAGTGGCAGCAACTTGCCAGCATGCATTAGATCCTGGGTTCTGTCCCCATAACACCTAAACAAAAGCAAAAGCAAAAATAAAACAAAACAACTGAAATGAAGATCCACAAGTCTTGTCTCTGTCAGAAATCTGAAGACTTAAGGCAAACCGTTGCCTCCAAAACTGGACCTAGAGAGAACACAGAACTTCACAATGTGCTAGTGCATCAGCCTCCATGAAGCTGGTACTGGGATGCAGTCAGAGGACCGTGGAGATTCCCAGCAGACAAGGCTGAGCCTTAATGCCTGACTGTACAGAGGAAAGGATCCATAGACAAGGCAGAATAGAATAAGGGCCTCACTAGTCTCTCTGGCTAACTCTAAATAGAAAGAGTTAAAAAGCTGGCCTAGAGGAATTCCTTGGAAGCAGTTAAAAGAAACTGACATCAAAAGACTTGAAGAAGAGCTGACAGAGCACAAAGGGAGCCAGGGACTTCAAACCAAGGCAGCTGTCCCTCACAACCTCCCATGAGCTGCAAAGAAGGCAAAAGTGGGCATCTATCCTAAAACTCCTATGTAACATACAATGTTCTCACTTTAGGGTCACTACATGACTGCACTAGATACACACAAATCCCCTTGCCTAATTACTAGCTCCAGGAAGTCTGTCTGTGAGGCTCCTCCTAACCAATCCATCAGTCCCAGGCACAAGGCCTGCCAAGGACAAGCAGGCAGTGAGAACACAAAGCCTACCCAGGGGCATGCGCATAGGCACTGGAGCAGGGGCAGGGTGCTGTGACCTGGGGTCCACCTGTGAAGTCCGGAGAGCCAATCAGGAGGTGACCAGTTCCAGGTAGTGACCTGGGAGGGAGGGGCCTTCTCACTGATCAAGGGAAGCTGGGGACAAAGACCTGAGGAATCCATCTTGACGTCCCTTTCCCTTACCTCAAATGGTGCAGCTTTTTGGTTTCTGCTTTTTCTTCCTTACAAATGAATGGGCTTCCCTTTTAAACGTCATCTCTTTAATTCATTACTGAGTGTGCATCACAGCTGAATGAATTAATTCATTCATTCTTTAATTCATTGCTGAGTGTGCATCACAGCTGACTGCTTCCCGCCTGTTATACGCATGCCTCTGAGGCCTGGCCTGGGCCACAGCTGCCATGTCGCACTGGGCTGGGCTCAAGGCCAAGGCCTGGCTCAAGACCCAGCCAGGCGGACAAAGCCTTGGGGGTACCCAGGCCATCATCTGGAAGTCTCCACAGCTCAGAGGACAAGGATGCAGCATAAGTCTTCCCTTGAGTCCTCCCTGCACAAGTCTGATCAGCAATGTCTGATTTGGCAACTACTTCTGTGCAAGGGGCAAATGACATGTAATTTCCTCTTGATTTCCCTGTGGTATAGATGAAGAGCTGTCACCTGCATCTGGATCTAGCAGCACAGCTGGAAGTGTTCTCATTCATGCTGTTCTGGAGAGTTCCCGACAGAGACCAGAGCACAGTGGGGGCAGAGGGATGCCCCTTAGGTCAGGTTGCTGGTCCTCTCAGGTAAAATCAACCTCAGACTTCTAGTGTCAAGCAGGTTCTCAAAGTCTCCAAAAGATGCTGTCTGCCATCCACAGTGCCGGACTGCCCCACAGCTTTTCAGCCCTCTGCCAGCTCTCTCTGCTCCCAGTCTCCCCCATAGACTGACATGAAGCATGCAGGTACCACAGACACCCACTGGAAAAATAGAACATGAATTGTCCTGGCACCATGAGACCCTATAAACCTTATGGCCTGCACTGCTCAGTCTCTATCTAAGGAAACAAGAAGACAAACACCTCTTCTGTGTTCTTTCCATGCCCCCATGCCAGCTCTTCCTGTAAGTGGGAGTGAGGGGCAGTGTCCACTTGGTTGTGTATAAACTGCTGTATCCACTACCAGGACCTAGCCTGAGCTCTCTCCGGGCTAAAATGGCAGAAGTCCCAGCAGGGAGCAGGGCAGGAGAAGGAAGCTGAGCAGGTAACAGGAGGTTTCCGGACACTCCGTCTTACCTCTGCTGAGAGTTCTTCACATTTTGGTCAGGCACACAAGGAGCTCTTGGAATCTGAGCTGTCCTTGAGATTCCTTGCTGCCCTACCACAGTCTCTAGCCGGGCTGGGGCTGCTGTGACCTGTGGCTAGCCTGCAACATCCTCTGGAGTCACTGCAGAGAGGCATCCTCCTAGCACTCAGGATTTGGGTTGCAGCCTGACATCTGCTCTGACACAAGTACTCCAGGACACAGCTGCTTCCCTTACCCTCTAGCTGGTTTGTACCCTGATCCCAGCTCCCCTGATTTTCAAACCCCGTAAGCACTCGGCCCTTTGGGGCCACACTCCTGGCCTACAAGAATCAAAATAGATCAATGCTTCTTAAAGTGTGCTCTACAGAGCTCATGGCTCTCAGACAAGACACAGGGTGTCTCATGAATTAGGGGGAAAACGTAGGCAGGGTTTCACACCAGTTCCAAGTAGAACAGCTCAACTTAACACTTGACTTTAATATTTTCTTTCAAAAATATTAATGCTATCAAATGCTACCTATTTTGTCTCTCTATGTTGTTTTTCAGGTTCTCATTTGTCTTGTGTCTTCTTTATAGTGTTTGTATATCTACCTTTCCATGTAATTAGGTATGCGCGTCCTAATCTTTTTGTTCTGACCACCTGGTTGTCACTACAGTCACCAGCACAGTACTTACCAGGCCAAGAGCAGCCCTCAACAGGCACTGACTTTAGGCTGCTGCTGAATGCCAACACCTCCAAGATGCACTAGGTGGTTAGCACCATCAGTAGCAGTTTCCAGCAGTGTCCCTCAAGAGGGGAGGGCTGCAGGGGAAAGTAAGTAACATTTATAAGAGGGGCTTCATGAAGACACATGTACATGTACAATTTTTTCAGTACTGGGACTAAGCCAAGGACCTTGTGCATGGTACAGGTACTCTATCACTGAGTTACATCGCTCTCCTCAGTTATTTGTTTCTTTGAGACAAAGTCTTGTTATATACCTCAGGTTGCTTTGAACTCATGGTGATCCTCCTGCATCAGCCTGCCAAGCACTGGCAGTACAGGATGACAAGACAGGCATGCACCTGACTAGTGGCACATGTGACTCTTAAATCAACAAATGGAGCACACTTGCTACCTTATCTCACTTGATCTCCAGGGGACCAAACTGATTTCACATTTGACCAATCTTTGGGTAAAACACGCATAACCCAACAGGATATATTGGAAGCTTCCAGGCCCTAAATGTGGGACTAAGGGAACACAGTATGACACTCACTGGCTGAGTACTCGGAAATCTATAGGGCAGCTATAGAAGAAGGACAAGCCCCACTACTCTGGTCATAGGGCTCAAGATGGATGAAGACCCTCAGTCTCAACAATCAAGCCCACTGCCTGGGCCTCTTTCACCAGCCAGATTTGGGGCAGGGGAAGGAGGAGGCAGGAGATTGTGCTCCTCATAGCTAAAGCCACTTGATAATAGGCCCAAGATCTCTAGAGAAAAGAAGGTAGCATGAGACTCTCCCCAGACCATGCCTCCCAGCAGGGCCAGAGAGGACGGCCATTAGCATGGGCCTCAGCGGACAGTGGGGAAGAACAGGCTCCGGAGCACAGCACAATGGCAACAGTTAGAATGCAGCGGGGTGCAGAAGCTGTTTAACTGGGTGACCCCTGAGGTCGCTGCATCTGACTCCCATCCCTGGGTAAATATTGGAGCGGAGGGGAGGGGAGGGTGAGGGAGCCCCCCACACCCTGCCTCCAGTCACACACACCAGGACATTATTCACAGCTCTGACAGGCAGAGCGTCTGCTCTGCTAACCAAGAGGAAGTGGACAAAGTAGGCTGATCTGAAACTGACTAGGCCACTGAAGCAGAGCTCAGGGCTGGTGGGGGATGGAGCTGAGCAACACAGATGTGGGGCTTCCCCGACTCAGGGTCCAGCTGAAGCCGATCCTGTCACCCTCAAACCCCAAAGCACTGATGGGTGGAGCTTGTCTCAACTGCAGAGTGTAAACCAGAGAAAGGAGTGCACTTCCAGCTTTTGGGGCCTCACAACGAAGAACTTCCATATCTCGTCACTACCCATGTGCTGCACAGCAGAGATGGGAGCCTCGGCTACTCACCCCAAGAAAGTAGACCAACCACATGCCACTTGCTGGCCTTGGCTGACTCAATGAGGAAGGTCAAGAGCAAGAAAGTCAGGCATCACAAAAAGGGGTCAGGATTGGGGAGAGAAGAGTGTCTGAGCACAGGCTGCCCCCAGCCCACCAGGCACTGCTCTCCAGTCCTTCCCTAATGCACCCTGGCGCACCTCTGAAGTCAGAGTTGTCTGTAGTCATCACTGTTATTTATTAGTAATTATTTCCATGATGTTGCATTGCTGCCTATGAGAAAGAATCCAGAGAAAATGGCCTGTCCAGCTCTCAGGATTCTCTGGGCTGCCTGGCTTTCTTCCCCAAACCAACATCCTCCCAGGGTTTGGAAGAAACAGTCTGACAGCACTATCAAGTCTGAGTCATAGCACCCTTTAGCCAGGAACACTTAGAATTGCTCCTGCCCACTCCAACCTGCCCTTCCCAAAGCCCTACAAAGCTAAGTCCACACACCATTCAGGCATGGGCCACCAGGCGAGCTGACTCTTGAGTTCCCTGGACCTCAACTCCCAAGGCCCTTACTCTCTGACTTTCCTCGGTGGGGCGTTGGCAGTCTCCAGGGTGCCCTTAGGAACCTGGCAAATGAAACCTACTTCAGACCAAACTGTCATGGAGGAGCCACCCTTTGACACAGATGAGGTAAGGGAGAACATGACGGCAGGGCATCCTCTCTTCTGGAATCCACCGACCTCCACTCGAGAGCTCGGTGGCTCAGGTGCCAGAGCCCTGCCATCCCCACCTGCCCATACATCTGCAAGGAGTGACCCACGGAGCTGACCTGTCTTCCGCAAGCTGGAGCTGGACAGCATCTGTCTGCACAGGAGAACTAGTGGTTTGCTTTACTACAAGATAATGTCTGCATTAGCCTGGCTGGGGATTGGAGGACAGATTGGCAAGCACTGGAAAAATGGAGGTCACTCACCTTCCCCCAGCAGGCATGGAAAGTTGGAGAATAATTCTCTCCCCTCGCTGAGGCAATCAGACTCCAGGAGAGTGGGAGGGAAGCACCGACACCGAGAGAACCTTTCCCTGCCAAGCGGCAGCAGTGACCACCAACACCGCCTCTATCACTATGAGCAGAAAAGGAAGATAAAGCCCACCAGCCCTGGAGAAGCCTCGTCAAGGTGGCCAGGCCACTGCCACCTAACTTCCGCAGAACCCACCAAACAGAAGAGACTGGACAAGGACAAGATTTTCTCCAGGATCAGAGTCCAAAAGGCTGAAGACAGTGCCAGCTGCGTGCGCTGCAACACAAACTCCACAAAGGCAGGGTTTTCTCCTTTGCTCACTGCAGTGTCCTCAGAACCTTGACTAGTGGGAGTACACAGCACACAGTCAACACACCTTGGCTGGGAGAAGAAATAAATGAGCCACTGTGGCTCAAAGGCCACTTCCACAGACCTAGTGCCAGCCTCTTCCTACCACAGGACCTTAGACTTCCAGAACAGACAGGGAAGACCATAAGGCCAAAGACTGGAATCTGGTTTTACTGAAGGATGAGTTTTGGCAAGCTACAGCAGCCTAAGGAAGTCCCACCTCAAAATGAACATGCACATACTCATTCAACAAACATGTACTAGCAAGGAAGGTAGATGTTCCAACAACATACAAGCATAAAGGAAAATACAACATAGTGGAATATTGTGCTGAAATTTAAAGGCTAAACTACTGATACATACAGACACGTGGATTAATCTTCCATATATTATTTTGTCCAAAAGAAGTCAAACACAGAAGGGTATATCTTGTATGAGTTCATTTCTACGAAAGTCAGCAACAGGCAAAACTGTCCCTTCAACAGAACAAAACTTCTCTGAATGATGTCCTGGATCTTGAGCTAGGCAGTGGTAACAAAGGGATATCCTTAATTTATCACACTATACACTTCACATTTGTATGTTATATATACTCCCTCATACCTATTTCAGACCTCAAATATCAAAAACACTGAGGTTCACACAAAGAGTAAAAAGGACCCCAAAACTGATTTACAAAAACATCTCACTGGGCATGCTGGTGTACACCTGTCATCCCAGCCCTCAGCAGGCTGAGGCAGGGCGACTGCTGTGAGCTCAAGGCCAGAATGGGCTGCATGGCAAGATCTTGTCTCAAATACACACATACATACATAAATATGTCACACAAAGGAAAATACTTCCCAGGAGCACCAGGGATTTCTTCTTGGAGCTGGGAAGACAGACCCCTCTAGTTTCACACTCTAATGGCCAAGACCTGACAAAACTAAGATGTTCCAAGTACCAAGGAGTTCAGTCCAGGTCTTAAATCAGAGGGGTGGTACCTAGTTCGAGGCTCCACTGAAGCTCTGCTCCATGCCAGGGAAACGCCAGGGAGGTGGACATGGATCACACAGTCCATCCCAGCTGCTTCTGAGACTGAGTCTGGCTGTCAGATTCTGCCATGAAGCATAGAACCAGATTTCCAAGGACCTTGCTGAACAGCCACAGCATTCAATGGATTCACAGGATTCAATGTGTCTTCCTGACAAGCCAGACAGGGACTGGCTGAGCCAGCCCAAATCTAGGCTAAGGCAAGAGTCCCAGCACATCCAGCCACTCCAGCCAGCAGAGAGGAGGTGATGAGACCCTCACAGATGGCCCAGAGGAGCTCTGTCCATCAAAACCTGGGTGCCAGACTCTAAGCAGCAGTACTTGATGGGGAATCAAGCAGTAACAAACCATTTTGCCCCCAGCTCTGTCTCGGGCCTAAGAATGAGGTGATCACCACCTTAACACCTCACAGCCCGATGCATCACTGAGCAAACATCCTTATTGTAATTGATGCTTTAAAAGGGTAAACTTTCCCCTCCAGGTTTCCTATAGTTACCACAATGAGTTAAACTCTCCGCCCTCTAGCAGGAGTGAGGAGATGAAGTTGGGTTCCAGCCCACAAATGCTCACAAAGAGACTCTGCTGTCAAGGAGAGGCCAGACTTGTAGCTTTGCCTCTAGTGTTCCTCCAGGAACAAAGTCAAATAAAAGCTCAGAGGAAAGTCACAGTGTGAGAGTTTGTTGATCTAGAGTTTGTAGGAACAAAGACTGGGCAGCAGACTAGGGCAGCTGCTTCTGCCCTAGGGACTGTATATAAGGACATTCAAAATCTCTAGCCAAGACCCCAATCAGGAGCCCCTGTATTACCAATTCTAGGCCCCAGGACTCACAGCAGGGGCTTCCTGATGTTTTCCAGCAGACAGGCCCCAGCAGCATCTGGGCTCTCAGGCAAGGAGTGGGAACACCTTTCTCTCTGCCAAGCCTAAGAATTCTCAGCTGGGGGGCGGGGGCTGTCAGGTTAAGGACACTGCCACTGCATCTGAGCATGGCAGGCTGTGCTGCACTGGCTGCAGAGGCTCTTCCTTAATTAACAGTATCCCAGGCTCTGCAGGAAGCTTCACTCCACGAGGAATGGCCCTCTCTCAATAGAGACAAGCCTGCCATGAGGTGTTCAGGGTGAGGGCCAGGATTCATTTCCCTGTCTGTGGCTGGAGGATGGGAGGCAGGAAGATGCAGCCGGGAGAGATTTGTGTCCAGTGACTAGGGTTAGCTGCAGCTGAAACGTGACCCTGTCCACGCAAGCTGCCTTCTTGGGCTAATCCAATGTACCTCTGCTGATCAGAGGGCTCCAGGGAAACTGAAGGGAGGGCACAAGGTCTGG